GCAGCCACTATGGAAAACAGTACAGAGATTCCTCAAAAAATTAAAAATAGAAATACCTTATGATCTGGCTATCCCACTACTTGGTATTTATCCAAAGAACTTGAAATCAACAATCCAAAGAGACTTATGCACCCCTATGTTCACTGCAGCATTATTCACTATAGCCAACAAGTGGAAGAGCCCAAGTGTCCATCAATTGATGATGGATAAAGAAGATGTGGTATATACATACAATGGAATGCTACTGACATAAAAAAGACAAAATTGTCCCATTTGCAACTAAATGGAGGGACCTGGAGGGTTATGTTAACCAAAATTAGCCAGACAGAGGACAAGCACCATATGATTTCATTCATATGTGGAAGATAAACTAACACAAGGATAGAGAGAATAGTTTGGTTGTTACCAGGGGGAAGGGGAAAGGGGGGGGGGCACAAGGGGTGAAGGGGCCCATTCATATGGTGACTGAGAAACAATAATGTACAACTGAAATTTCACAATGTTAGAAACTATTATGACATCAATAAAAAACACTTTTCTGATTGACGCAATATCTATTTTGTGAGTTGATGCCCTCAATTGCGTCCTGTGTTGTTCTTAGCGCCATAGAGTTGATTCCGACTCCTAGCAACTCTGTGTACAACAGAGTGGAGCCCTGCCCGGTTTTTTGCACTATACTTTCACCTTCCACTACTGTATCAGACAATGCTCTACTGCTATTCATAGGGTTTTCATGGCCAATATTTCGGAAGTGGGTGGCCAGGTCCAAGGTAACTCCAGAACCTGAGATAGCTGCAGGGGCTCTTACACCTCTGCCCTGTTTTCTTTGGTTACCCAGGGTTAACGAGATTGATCTCTGCTCCGTGCAGACTGCTCCAGCTATTAAAGAGACCCTGTGTGGTGGTCTGTGCTCTAATACTCTTCAGGAGGAGGGGTAGTTCATCCTCATTCACTCAACTGCCCTGTCTCACAAGTTGACTGACTCATTGACACTGCTGTGAAGGTCTCAGCAGAGCACTGGTGGACTTGAAATCAGATATGTGAATTTGAGACCTTAAATAAAACATTTAGTCTCCCTAAACTTCAGTTTCCTATTTCTAAGATGAGGAAAAAAGGAATTTATAGGGCCACGTAAGGTTCAAATGAAATATGTAAAAGTGGTATGTAAAAGTGTTTTGCAGCTACAAAATGTTATCAGTATTACTATTACTATTAAGCTTAAAATAGTCACTGATACATGGAAGCCTGATGATTGGCAGCTGCCCCTTATACCCTCTATTACCATGAAATGTGATTCTCAAACCTGTGTCCCTAAGAATCACCTGGAGCTTGCTCCAAATGCAGATTCCCAGGCACCATCCCAAGCAATTCTGAGTAGGTTTGGGTTGGTCCCAGGAATTTGTCATTTAACAAGACCCCGAGGTAATCCTGATTTTGTGGTGACACAATTATACTTTGGAGAAACAGGAGCTGAATTCTACAGTCTAATGTAGCAGGACTAAAGCCCTCATTCACCATTTTGAACTCTGAGCCTCCATAAATGCTTCTGAACAGAACTGGTACAGTTAAGTTTGAGACATCTGTAGGATATTCAGATGGAAATATCCCCAGGTATTTGGGCAGAAGCTCAGGAGGAAGGTCTGGGCTGGAGGTAAGATTTTGGAGTCCTCAGTGTATAGATAATAGTTGAAGCCTCCAGGGGCATGAGGTAGGATAGTGGCCAGGTTCCAGGATCCAGTCTTATTTACTGTTTAAGGGTCCCTGTTTGTCCCAAAAGAGTGTGTCTGGATGTCCCACAGTCTCCTCTTCCTGAGTTCTCTCTGATCATGAATGGCATTATCATCCACCAGATGCCTAAGCCAAAAACCTGCCAGTCACTGACCACACCTGCTACTTACTCACCTTAGCCAATCAGTCACCAAGTCCAGCTGATCACACTCCTCAGTAATCCTCAGATCTTCCCCCTGCTCTTCATCCCCACTGACACCAGTCTAGTCTCATTTCTTGCTTGGCATGCCACAGCTTCCCAACTGGCCTCCATCCTCCTTCCAGCCTTGCTCCCATCCAATCCAGCCTCCATGCTGCAGCCAGAGTGTGTGTGCTTCTCCAAACAGCCAGAGCTAGTCCTGAGGGCAGAGACTCCGGTCTTGCATATTAATATGTCCCTGACACCTCTCACGGTACCTGGCTTTTAGTAGGTGCTCATTAAATGTTTTCCCCCTGCTATCCCCATATTCCTTGTCCTCCCTTCTCTCCCAACTCTAAGGCTCAAAGGCAAAGAGAGATTATTAGATTGGAAGAAAAGATAACTTGTGGTTCACGTTGTGGGCACCCACATAATTTTCTTTGTATAATGGAACTGCTGCGGGCCCCCGACAGAACCTTCTTAAATGATCTCCAGGCTACCTGCTACTTTCATAGCAGGCGCCAGAGCGTAAGTAGTAAAGGCTTAATCAGATCAACTAACTGCAGCTAACGAAGGAAGTGGAGAATCTAGTGCTTTCTCCATGGCATAAGACAACTCAGTGAAATGTCTCCAAAAATCTTTAAAGAGTCAGTAAAATGGTATGAAGGGAAAATGGGGGAAGAGGAATGCTTTGGACAGGGAACCAGTCAGAAGTCCACACACAGGAGTAATCCAAGAGTTTATATTCCTTCCAATAGGGCTGTCCTGCCTGAAGGTGGCTGGGCCCTCACTGAAACTGCCCTCCCTCATGCATTGAATAAATATTTATTGAGCATCTACTATAAGCCTATAACAGCCCTGTTTTAGGCTCTGGGGATATAGTAGCAAACAATTAAGACAAAAATCTCTGCTTTCATGCAGCTTATATTTTAGTGGGGTGGGGGGGAGACAATAAATTAAATATCTAGTTTGTCACATGGTAATAAGTACTATGGAGAAAGATGTATCAGGGCCAGGGGAATAAGTGAAACCGAGCACGAAGAAGCTAAAAAAATTCTTCCCTAGAGCCAAAAAAACTTTGAGATAAGCTTTGCTAACTGCAATTGTGCATATTCAGCATAATCAAACTGTTGTTTCAAACTAACCAGGGCTTTCTGTCCCTCTTTAGTATATGAGTGAGCTGTCTTTCCCAGGAAGTCAGGTCCAGACGTCAAGATTCAGCCTCACAAGGCCAAACACAGGCTGGTGAGAAGGTGCCAACCAGCATGGCCACATGATCCCCCTCCCCTACCTAAAACCCCAGATGAAAACCCCTACCATTTTCACTACGAGGAGGTGGATCTGAGTTCTAACACCCATTTCCTCATCTGGCTGTCTTTTGATAGTAATCCTCTTTCCTTTCCATAAGCCTGACATTTCAATTATTGGCCCTACTGTGCGGCAGGTAAAAGAACCTGTGTTTGGGTTTGGTAACATAGGAATACTGGAGGTCAGAGTACTGTCTTTTACAGGATGGTCAGACAGCCTTTCTGAGCTCGTGACATTTGTACAATCTGTGAAGCCTCCTCCCAGTGCTTGCTCAAATGAGATCTCCATGTGGGTATCTAGCAGAAGACATTCTAAGCAGAGGAAAGAGCTCGTGATAAGGCCCAGAGGAACTGCCTTTCACGGATCAGAAAACCAATCTTAGCCGGTTTTATAGGCTCCAGTCTGGGAATGGCCAGTGAAGCTGGACGTGGGGGAGGTGGGAGCTGTGGCTGCACACTTCAGAAGCCTCAGGAAATCTAACTTACAACTTTCCTGTAGGGGGAGGTTTTGGCGGTTGCTACTAGTCCGGATTTCCCAGGTTCACTTTTGAAGATCTGAGATCCCAGTCAGTGTAGGCTGTGGTCTGGTCCTCCCCATAGTCACTCTCCTTTCCTGCCCTGCAGGGCAAGGCTGGTTGCCTGGGGGATACTTACACCTGTGGAGACAGGTAAGGCAGACAGTGAGATGCAACCAGTCTCTACTTTGTCTTGCTGTGGCTTGCTCTTTGTTATCTTTTCAGGTTTCTCCAGCAGAGATCTGAGCCACCCCTGGAGCTAAATGTCCATATAGTTGGATTGGAGGGTCTGGGCAGAGTGGTAGAAAGATTCTGAGTCATACTTTGACAAATACAGAAAACTATTCCATTAGAGGGAAAGAGAAAGGAACAAACATTGAGTTTCACCAGTGGGCTATTTACTGCTAAACGTTTTACATACATTATCTCACTAAATTTTCCTGACTACTCTGCAAGGTAGATGCTATTGTCACTATTCTACAGACAAGGAAGTAAGGCTCAAAGACACTGGCTATTTCCATGCTTACAAAAATACACTTTGTAAAAGTTTCAAACAAAGAATGGTAAAGAATAGGAAGGCAAAGTCCCTCAGAGTCTCACCTCTTAGAGAAAACAACCACAAACGCTTAGCGCATAATCTTCCTGAATTCTTAAAATATACCAACACATACTTTTCTTTGCTTTTTACAAGAAACTGAGACCATATTATATATACTGTTCTGAATCTTGCCTTTTTTTTCTTAACAGTGTATCTTGGGTACCTGGCCGTGTAGTTAATTAATATTAATGAGAGCAGGGGTTTGGGGGGAGTTAGAGCTCTGAGGACACACTTGGTTGTGGGACTTCCCACAGGTCACTCCGTTCGTTAGGACTCCGGTTTCCCCCATTTGTAAAAGGAGGGCAGGGCACAGAGGATTCCGCGATGTAACGCCAATGAGCAGGGCACCTCAGCCCCAGCCCGCCTCGTGACTATCTGGGATGTTCTGCAAGGTCCAGCCCTCCTTGACGTGGACGGCAGCCGCCGCCAGCGCCCCCGGGAAACTCGGGCAAGCAGCACGTCCTCCTGTCGCTCCCCCGGGAGGGTGCTGATGACGAAACAGCCGGGCGGGACCAAGGGCGAGACTGGGGCGGGGCCTCAGGCGCACGGCGCGTCGTGCGTGCGAGCTGGTAGGCCAGCTGCGGCGACACGTACACGGCGCCTGCGCCCGGCCCCGCCCCCGCGGCCCAGATCCCGCCCCCGAGGCCCAGGCCCCGCCCCTCCTTCCGTGGTCCGCCGCGTCCTCTCACGGCGCTGGCGCAGCGATGGCGGAGGCCGTGGAGCGCACTGATGAGCCGGTCCGCGAGTACCTGCTCTTCCGCGGCTTCACGCGCACACTGCGGCAGCTGGACGCCGAGATCAAGGCGGACAAGGAGAGGGGCTTCCGGGTGAGGCACGGGCGCGGCGTGGGCAGGGGCGACCCCGAGGGAGCCCGGAGCGGGCTCTCCCCCAGCGCTGCCTCCGGGGCGGGAGCGGCGCTGTCACCGCGCCGGGGGAC